CGTAGCTCCTCCCACACTGCCCCTCCATCAGAGACAGTACGTAGCTCCTCCCACACTGCCCCCCCCCAAGAGACAGTACGTAGCTCCTCCCACACTGCCCCCTCCAGTAGAGACAGAACGTAGCTCCTCCCACACTGCCCCCTCCAGTAGAGACAGTACGTAGCTCCTCCCACACTGCCCCCTCCACAGAGACAGTAAGTAGCTCTCCCATCCCACACTGCCCCTCCAGCAGAGACAGTACGTAGCTCTCCCCACTCCAGCAGAGACTAGCTCCCCACACTGCCCTCCATCAGAGACAGTACGTAGCTCCTCCCACACTGCCCTCTACAGTCTGTGACACGCTGCGCTCTCCCATCCTCTTTCTGGATGCTATATTTAATTTGACTAAAGCCAATGTAAAGCCAGAAACGATTAAAACTGAATATTTTTGTCAATGTAAAATCAAAAGTGAGTGAAAGATCAAACCCTCCTCTGTTAGAATATTTCAGCTGTAAGTCCCTGTGGAGCTGTTTTCTTCTGCATCTGATGAGGACGCCAAGACAACTGGTTTCCTTTTGGACTAAAATAAATGACAATGTTAGGATAAATAACTAAGGCTACGTTCAGACTGCAGGGCTTAACGCTCAATTCCGATTTTTTTGGTGAAATCTGGTGTTTTTGTGATGTCGTTCACATTTCCAATTAAATGTGACTTGTATGTGACTCCAGTGTGAACATTAAATGGCCCAAAAGTGTCCCACATGTGCACTGGAGACACGGAAGTTGTCCAAACATGGACGCAGCATTGAGCACCTGGAGATTTTAAAGTTCCTCTTGTACCGGCAGCCAGAACATGAACAACTTACTTGTTTTAAGGAGGAGATTGAGAAGGAGAAGGACGAGGTTTTTGGTCGTGGTGTTTTGTGGGACAGCGGCAGCGACGTCTGTTGAAAGGAACATGTGGATGTGGAGACGGAGCCAAGAGTGGTGAGTGGTGATGTGCTTCGCTTCAGTGACACGGAGTTCATTAACAATTTTCGCCTACTTCAGCACAGAATAGTGATGTTTGTGTCTTGTTGATAACGTGTAGGTGGATGAATGCACTTTGGCCGTTCACACTGAAGTCACATGTCAAAAGATCAGATATGTATCAGTTTCAGGAGCACATATCCAAGTGTCCTGGGTCACATTTGAAAAAATCGGATCTGTGTCATTCAGACTGTCATTAAAAGATCAGATACAGGAACATAGAGAAAAAATCTGATTCACTTCAGGCGCAGTGTGAACGCCGCCTAAGTTTAGGTGGTGTATAACTACTGCTATGATGTAACTGATGTGCTGCTATACAATTATTGATGTACTGCTATATTTTATTATTGTACTATTATAATTCACTATGCAATGACCCAGAAAACAGGGACTAGATTACAGCTGAGGGATGCAGAGATAGGTCCAGTTCATGTAAAAGATATTCTATTTCTATCTATATGTCTAATCAATTAACTAAAGGACTTATTGATAGGGACATACTGACTCACGACTCATCACCCTGATCAAACCAGCAAGACGTTCCTGTAAGAGGAGTGAGATGAATCCGGGGGATCCTTGCAGTGTTGGGAAGGTGACTTTTAAAATGTATTCCCCTACAGATTACAGATTACATCCCCCAAAATGTAATTTGTAACGTAATCCATGAAGTTACTTAAAGTGAGTAACATAATCTGAATATTTTGGATTACTTGATTTGCTGTAGAGAAGCAAAGATGAGGAAATCTTCACATAAGATGTTTTGTCTGATAAAAGAAAATAAAAAGCCCAGACTTTACTGAACCAAATTCAAAATATTATTGACAGAAGACGAAGAGACACGTCCACACGGCATGATTTAGTCCTGTTAAATCCTGTTTGAGACATAGTTTAGACCTGGTTTATATCTAGTTAAGATCTAGTTTAGACCTGGTTTTAGTCCTGTTTTAGTCCTGGTTTAGTCTTGTTTTAGTCCTGGACTAGACCTAGTTTTAGTCCTGGTTTAGACCTGGTTTAGACCTGGTTTGGACCTGGTTTAGACCTGGTTTTAGACCTGGTCCTGGTTTTAATCCTGGTTTAGACCTGGTTTAGTCCTGTTTTAGTCCTGGTTTAGTCTTGTTTTAGTCCTGGTTTAGTCTTGTTTTAGTCCTGGTTTAGTCTTGTTTTAGTCCTGGTTTAGACCTGGTTTAGTGTCCGGCAATGAGTGGAATTACCAAGGAAAAAAAAAAAAAAAAAAAACTTAACAAAAGGGATACAGCCCGAAATGTGAAAAGAGGAAAATACCGCCATGTAATCCATTTATTTGAACAAAGTAACTGTAATCCAATTACCACTCACTGAAACAGTAACTGTAACTGAATACAGTTACTCATAATTTGTACTCTGATTACATAACTCTGGTACGTGTAATCTGTTACTCCCTGACACTGGACATTGCGTATAAAAATCATTGTATGGGCGTAAATATTCAGTCTGTGCATGGGAACGTCAGCACAGACTCCTTGTACAAGTACGACTTTTCTAATAATGGAGTAAGTAAATTATCTGGACTTTATTTCAGTTTCAAGTGTAAGTGTTTTTGTCTAAGCAGAAACTAACGAACATGTGAGGAAAAGGTTATTTTCCTCAACAACGACACAGAACACATGGAGGGACACGAGTATATGTCAAATGTGAGAAGAGCCCTTGTTTTTTTACTCTGTATGTATTTTATTTGCGGTGATTTTAGTGTTGTTGTTTTTTTATACTGGAATGAAGGACTGGGTGGACTGAACTAATTGAACATTCCCTCCCAACCTCCCAACTGTGGCCATAACAGCAGGGGCTTGAAAAGACAGACAGAGGGCATGAGTGGGGCTGACCCGGGGTGTGCACGCGTGACACCGGAACCGGAAGAGACGGGGCAAGACAGGTACAGGAGCGGGAACAGGAAGGCAGAGAGGAGGTGCAGCGGGAACGGGCGAAGCTGGACCAGCTGGACCAGGCAGAGGAACGCGCCGACAAGGACAGATACAACGCCTGAAAAGAGCTAAGTAGAGGGATGTATCTGGGGGACCTTGTGGGCGTGCGGGAGGCCGGACAGTAGATCGCACCATAGAGTTAAGAAGCACTCTGTTTCTGCAGCGGCTCCAGAGTCGGAGGACCTGTGGCGGAGGGGAGGCGGAGGCCCGGATGCGGAGGCCCAGACGCGGGGGGATGTGGCGGCCCTAATTACATGCATGAAAGAGCTAAGTAAAGGGACGTCACTTGGTCAGCCCTGGTGTGCAGTGTGGCTGGTCAAAGGTGGTCCTTGCCGTAGTGTGAAAGACTTTGTTTTATTCTTGTTTTACAGACAAATACGTGGAGTGGCGGTGGCTGGACCAGAAGGACTAGCACGCCAGATCCGCACGGACCCTCAAACAGTGACTGCTTCACCCGACTCATTTTTAATTCTGATTTTAGCCGAACCAGATCTTTTAAAAAAAAAAAATATTATATTCATTTTTTTAGGATTCTTTTATCCATTTTATACTCATTTTTATTCTCATTTTAAATGTTGTGCTTCACTGAATAAACTTTTACTGACAAACTAGAGAATCTTACATATATCAACCAAACACATGTATCAAATCATGAGACCAGTACTGAACGATTAAATATTATATTGAATATTGTTGCATCCCTAATTATAACCTCTGGAAAAGTGAGCTGGCGGTGTCCTTGGTACAGCAATGCAATTTCTCGACTACCATTGTGTTCAGCGTTTTTTATTCATACAACAACTTGATGTAAAACATGTACTGATTTTAAAGGTACACTATGTCAGTTTTCTGGTGGAGGGTTCATCTTCTACTTGTCGAAATATAATAATAAACATATGATTGTTTTACCTGGAATGTTCCACATTATAGTACATATGGTATTTGTTTGTTCTGTTATGGATGGTTTTGTATCACATAACACTTTTTTTGCTTGTCTCCATGGTGTAGAAGCCATTCTGTGGAACATTCTTACCGGAACCATATGCTTTAACAAAACTTTGCAAAGACTGATTTCAGAGGGTGTGACTGACAGACGAATTAACCAATCAGAGAGATGCATGCTTCATCGGTGCCAAAACAAACATGTCTGCTTACACATGAAAAGGAACAAAAAGGACTGAGAAACAGGGATTTTTGCAGAATCAACAAGCAAATCACCAAACTATTACTTATCCCAGGTATAAGAAGTGAAATATTTTGTTCTGAATGTTACAAGAATTGTCGAGAGGAGATTTCTTCTGCATTTGACAAAACATGATATAAATGATTATTTATGGCCTCATTCCAGTCCCTCCTGGATTCAAAGTAGAAGGGACTAGGTGCTCAGGCAAGGAACATTCCAGGCAATGACATAAAAAAAAAAAAAAAAAGTTTTCAGACCCTCCTCCTAAAAAAATTACACAGTGCCTCTTTAATTGAGATAAATTAAAATAAATCTAAATTCAAGTCTTTTAAGTCATGCGTCCTTTTTTGCCGTGTTCAAAGGCTGGTGGTGTCCTCGATCTCCCCCGCCCCGATGTAGCAGTGTTCTGTTCCCGTCCCCTGCTCCCCCGCCAAACAGACCCCGCCCCTCCCCTGCTCCCCGCCGAACAGACCCCGCCCCTCCCCGCAGACCCCACCCCCCTATCCTCTGACAGAGCCAACAGTCGCTCCCCAGAGTGCCTCCTCAGCGGGAGCATCTCAGCCGACTCAATCCGTGAACGCAGCGTCCCAAAGCCGTCGTCGACAGAGTGCCTCCTGGTGGGCCTGAGCTCCCCCTGCAGGTGGAGGTGAAAAGAGCTGTCGTACAAGGGACAAGAGCGGCCCCAGTCTGAGATGCTGTGGTCCGAGCCTCCGCGGCTGAGGGAGCTGTCCCGTACCCTCTGGCCCACGCCCTGCCCCGTGGCCAGGCTCAGCAGGCGGGGCAGAGTCACCATGGAGGCCGAGGCCACCACAGCGGCAGCAGTGGCGTGCTGGTGCTCGCTCCCGCTCCTTTTACTGTCTCCGATCCTCATGGAAGGCGAGCCCACGGCCTGTCGACTTGGAGAACGTGGACGATCCAAAAAGGGCGGCGACTTTCTGGTAGTAGCGCGTCCGGATGACTTTGGCCGAGCGGTACAGGTCCCCGATGAAGCAGTAGCAGATTGGGTTAAGGCTAGAGTTGGTGAGGCCGAGCCACTGGGCGAAGGGGCGGGCCTGGAGGAGCCAAGATGGCGGACTTTCCTCCCAGTCGATGAGCAGGTCGGCCAGGTAGAGCGGCAGCCAGGACACGGCGAACAGCAGCACCAGGCACACCACCATCTTGGCGATTTTCTGGCGCATTTTGAGGCGGGAGTCGTGTAAGGCCTGGCTGCGCGGGTCCAGGTCAGAGAAGGTGGCTTTGTGCCCGCCCCACAGTCTACGCCCAGTCAGGAAGCCGATGGTGAGGTTAAAGGTCACGGGTAGGCAGTAGAGCATGACGAACAGCAGCACGTTGTACCTGGAAAACATGAAGAAGGGCTGTGAAATCACAAAGAGGAACTGGCATGCACGCTGCACAAATGCTTTTAATACATTTATATAATTTCAGTTTTAATGTAAGTGAGTGTTGACTTCTTTAGGAATTTCAAAGGAAAGTCAGAAGTTTCAGTAAGACATTCCAAAAAAAAAAAAAAAAGATGAGGCAAGAAAAAAAGATTAAAGAAAATAAATGTTGTAATCGTGTGTAAAGCTTTCAAAAGAGGAGGTGATGTTTTACTCATGAACTTGCAAAAATGCATTAGACGCCTTTTGAAGTGAAGTTCCTTTTAACTGAAACAGTGGAAGAGTCTTTGGTAGGTTCACTGAGTCTTCAGTTTCAAACAGAACTGTCTTCAGAGGACGACTACAGGACATAAAGCAGGTAAACAACATTCTGTTATTTAACAATGGATGAGTGTTTATGAGAATGTTGGAGAACTTTCTGTCTGTTTGAGATGTTCTTGCTTTGTATACTGTGTGTTTTTATGTTACTGTGATGTTTTCTTTTTAAAAGTTAGGCCAGATTTTGCTGGATGATTCATTGACCAAGAAATCATTGAGATAAACCATAATATTTACATTTTGAGACCAATTTCAACTAACATAATGACAATGGAATAAAACTGCAAATACACCTTTCAAAGATCAATAAACTTTACTTTCTATAGAACATTTAAGAAAACCAAAATAACAGGCCTAAATAAAATAGACTTGTTCACATAAGAACAGCCTAATGTAGTCTGGCTCACAGCGAGGACTTGTTAACAAAAATGCACTTGAAAAAAATAATAAAATGAATTATTAAATCTCTGTAACAAAATTGCTCTTAAAAGTTATTTTAGTCTGTTACGGCAATGGCTCGAAAGACCGCAACAAAGGGAGGACACAATAATGGCGATGTCATTTATTACAAAAATATGAGTAGTGATGGTCCTGGCGGCGTGGTGGGCCCAGAGGATGGGGGCGGAGCAGCAGGAGGGGGAAGGAACGCTGATTTATAATCCCGCGGTGACTGGTGGGTGGAGCCAGCAGGTAGGGCATTTGGTTCACTTGCATTGGAATATTGTGACTCGTATTAACCCGCAACACATGATCCTGTTTCGCTTTGAGGGAGCAACTGTCCTGTCTGGTATCGTGTCTAGTCTGGTATCGTGTCTTGTCTGGTATCGTGTCATGTCTGGTATCATGTCGGTGTCTGGTATCAGTGTCTGCTATCATGTCATGTCTGGTATCATGTCGGTGTCTGGTATCAGTGTCTGGTATCATGTCATGTCTGGTATCATGTCGGTGTCTGGTATCAATCAGTGTCTGCTATCATGTCATGTCTGGTATCATGTCGGTGTCTGGTATCAGTGTCTGCTATCATGTCATGTCTGGTATCATGTCGGTGTCTGGTATCATGTCGGTGTCTGATATCAGTGTCTGGTATCAGTGTCTGGTATCGTGTCATGTCTGGTATCATGTCGGTGTCTGGTATCAGTGTCTGGTATCATGTCATGTCTGGTATCATATTGGTGTCTGGTATCATGTCGATGTCTGGTATAGTGTCATGTCTAGTATTGTGTCGGTGTCTGAAATTGTGCCAATGATGTTCATTTTGTCTTCTTATATACTTTAACTTCTTAGGTTCTTAATGCAGTAAAGTGTATTCACACACCTGGGACACCCTCCTCCAAAGAACACCGGGCGACGGGAGGCATGGTCAGTCTGAGCGACCTGCCAGGTCCATCAGGTCTGACCACGCCTACAGGAAGTAACAACAACTGATATACGACACGTCACCACCAACACCGGTGACAGTTCTGAAGATGGCTCACAGCTAGCAGCCGAAACATGTCAACAAGGTTAATACACTTTACTGCATTGTCTTTAAAAAGAACCTAAGAAGTTAATGTCTGAAATTGTGTTGGTGTCTGGTATCGTGTCGGTGTCTGGTATCGTGTCGGTGTCTGGTATCGTGTCGGTGTCTGGTCATCTCTGGTATCGTGTCGGTGTCTGGTATCATGTCGGTGTCTGGTATAATGTCATCTCTGGTATCGTGTCGGTGTCTGGTATCATGTTGGTGTCTGGAATAGTGTCATGTCTGGTATCATGTCGGTGTCTGGTGTCGTGTCTGGTATCATGTCAGTGTCTGGTATCATGTCAGTGTCTTGTGGGATTTCAGCAGATTTCAGGCTCTGTGTTGGTCAGTGTATGGGTGAATGTCGGCTGTTGGGGTTTGAGACATTTCTTCTCGATGTTTGCTCACTCGCTGCATTTGATGCATGTGGCCGTTGAGGCATATCCCACTCACTAGAGTTGATTTGACATCATGACGTATTTTGTCACATGGTGATGAACTGTTTTGGTGGCGGTGCTTTTCTGCACTACATGCACATCCTCTGTTGATGAACAAATAATCTGTATTTTTATGGTCTTTACATAGACCTATAATAATTTTATGATAGATCCATGCTTCTATACAGTCTATCCTGACATGTCATGACACATTCAAGGGTAGAGAGCGAAAGAAGCCTTTTGACATTCAGCCTCTTTGGTAGAGAGAGAGAGACGAGGAAAACAAACATACGCAAATAGAAATGATCACGTCTGGAAAAGTTATCGAGCTTGTTAAAAGTTATCGTGCGATGAACTGATTTATTGATTATTGTTACAGGCCTATTAAAGGTTCACTCTCCAACTTTTTTGGCTGAGGGTCCGTCTGCTTGTTTCTATGGAGATGTCATTGCTCTGCCTGGAATGTTCCAAACTATGACATCTAACAGCTCCACCTTTCATTAATTCAATTACAGGTGGTTTTACATCTCAAAAATACATTGAAAAACAGGAATTGTGACTGTGATCAGGGTCGCCTCTCCACAGATCTGACCTGTAACTTGGTCTGGTTTGTTCTCAATAAAATCTCCATGGAGAAAAGCATCTGATGGACCCTCCCCCAGAGAAGTTAGACCATGGGTGTCAAACCCATTTTACATCCAACCTACTTTGATCCCAAAGGGGCCGGATCAGAAAACTCATGTCATATAAACCCCAAAAATAACAATAAGTTCAAATATTTGTGAAGAGAAACAAAAATCTTTTTTTAATTGATGAACTCTTTCTTTTACAAAATATTATAATATTATGAACAACCTGAAACTTCAAGAAAAATACAATTTCAACACAATGTTTTAACATGAACTTGTATGTAAATAGGAATAAATAAATTTTTTAGTTATACTATGCACCTTGAAGGTAATTATTAAAGCCCCACTGTGCAAATTTAATGCAACTTTAGTGCAATAAAAGGTGACATGGTGATCTAAATATGTTACGTGTTAACAATTATTAGCCCATGGAAGTGTAAGTGAAGCAATTTAATTTAATCTTTAATGGTGGCCAGTACTGTTGTGGTTTGCGACAGGTTAAAAGAGTCACAGTCTTGACAAAGTTATAAAATACACTTACACAACACACAAAATGTCAGTGAATACAATAACATTCCGCCGTCCGCTGTAAACCCTGCTCTCTCTGAGGCCTGAAAAGGGAAGTGCATTGTTACGGCGAGCAGCTGTGGGAGCGCTTGATTCGGTTACAGTGGCAGCCTGCTCGTCCTGTGCGCCGTACGCTCCACAGTCACAATAAGATGCCGTGTCGTGTGGCGGTGTGTGTGTGTGTGCGCGGCCCGGGAGCCTTCATCCCATTACCTCCCCGCTCGCACGCTGACATGAGGAATGCAGTCGTCAGAGTCCCCCAGAGGCACGGGGCCCTTATCTCCACGCTCCAGGGCCCCACGCCTCCTCCTGAGATGTCTCCTCTGCGCGCCGCTAATAACACACGATGAACAAATACATCGTCTGCGCTAAACGACGACAGCTCTGTTTGTTCAACGCTGATGCTACACGGGGTTTTAAAAAGACGAGGGTTAAATCTCGCTAAATGCCACGCACAGGCGCAGAGGCGTGTGAGGTACTCTGCTGTTTCCTTCTGCGGGTTCCCACCACTCACACTGAGGTCGAGGATAATAATATGAATGAACCTGTAGCTTTACGACTAAATGATAATACTCCCTACAACTGTACAACAACTCACTCTTATGGAACAGATAATACTCCCTACAACTGTACAGCCCACCATTATGGAACAGATAATACTCCCTACAACTGTACAACAACTCATCCTTTTGGAACAAATAATACTCCCTACAACTGTACAACAACTCACCCTCACGGAACAGATAATACTCCCTACAACTGTACAACACCTCACCCTTATGGAACAGATAATACTCCCTACAACTGTACAATAACTCACCCTCACGGAACAGATAACGTTTAACATGTACACTTACATTTATATAATTATGTTGAGTGTATGGATTTTAAAACACAATGGAGCACATCCTGTATTTCTACATGACATCACAAGGTGGAACAGCGCGTTTTCAGTTTGAAAGAAGAACTCAATATCAAAATGTGTGTGTTAAACATGTGTGAATGAAACAAAACACAAATCCAGGTCTCTTTGATGAGGAAATGATTAGAACATAGATCAGAAAATCATGTAATATGGGACCTTTAAGAAAAAAGAAAAAACAAGTTTAAGCCTGAAAGAAACGTTTGATATGTTATATCAACTTTATTTTGTTGATTTGATTTGTATGAATTCTCTGGACGATTTTTCCTGGTGCACTGTGTGACGGAGCGCCTGTGTTGCCCCGTCATCTCCCGACTGGCGCGTCTGCATCTGGCCAAAGAGCGCGCACGACGCTTCCTTCATTCCCCGTTTTGCGGAGCCAAGCTCCGATAGACGGGTTTATGTTTTCCCCAACATCTGAACGGTTTCCCGGCTAGTGCGTTCGAGGTGCACACTCGACGCCGACGCTGCTTTCCTACCTGCAGCAGCCTCCGCGCTGTTCTTGAGTTTAGGGCCAAACCGAGGCACTTCCTGGTTGTGCTTTAAATAGCGCATAGTGGCGCGCTCAAGGGGGCCATGTGATCG